CCACCCTTCCCTTTTCTTTTGATAGCGGAATTTCCGGGTTTGCCTTGTCTGCGGGATGATACCAAAACGAGCGATACCCTGGTGGTGATCCACTTTGTGGTGTGATCACTGATAGGAGTCTGACGTTTGTTCCTCGCGTGCTCAAATTTATCAACATGGTAATCACTAGCGAGACACGCATAATGGCGTGAGATCCTCCTTTTGGCAGGAGCAAAATCGTACAGCGTTGGCAACGATGGGGGGAGAATATCGTGAGAGATCAATTTCGCAACGTTTCAAGCCTTTTTGGCAATATCTTGGAATCCGCTATGGGGCGGTGGCTTTCACGCTATGATCGGTGGTCGTCCGGCGGTTTACATGATACGTAAGCCCTTAGCTCATCCGTGACCCGGTAGATCAGCCCGAGCCTAGCAGGGCTGATAAGCAACAACGCCGCAGAGACCGCCCAGCCTGTGCCAGCTTCCTACGTATCGTGTGCTACCATACAACACTGGCACGACCTGTTCCGTGTCCCTGTACGTACATGACACGAGAATGTCTAGGGATCCCGAGATACGTACCCGTACCCAGATAACTAGAACTGTAAAATCGTCGACATGGAACGTCAAAAAGTGGAACCCCCTTTTTCGCGGCTTCACTGTTCGCGGGAGCGAGAGACGATTCCTTTCCTAACGCCCCGATAAAAAAGGGAATTTTTTTTTATGGTGCGGCTTCTCATTTACCCTGTAGGTAAAGTATGGAGCCCTGGAACCGCGAGACCGGGGAGATGTGCTTCGGTAAGTCGGACTGTCTCACGGCGTGCCTTTTTCTTCTCCTTGTTTTATCGTATTGATATACCCTCCTGTATCCTCCCCTTCCCGAGGGCAGGTCATGGCTGTACCAGTGTACACATGAACAGTCCTCGAAATGACGAATCCAACCGCGGCCATGTCAGCCACGACGACCCTGGCGGGAAGTCGGGCCCCTTCCGCTCACCTGGTGCCTCTCGACCACTCGGAAGCATGTGAAAAAGAGAGCAGCACGACCAACACCGAGCCCGAAATCAAGGATAAGGAGCAACTGGGTCCTGTGACGGACGGGAACGAAACACCAAGCATCGCTGAACGATATCCCGATAATGTCGTCGGGTGGGACGGGCCGGACGACCCCGAGTGTCCCAGGAATTGGTCGAATACCAAAAAGTTCTTCTTCGTGGTCGTCACGTCCTCGGTCATTTCGGCCGTGTCGTTTGGGTCGAGCGTCTTCGGTCCGGCCGCCAAAGTAACGGCCGCCGAGTTTGACGTGCCCGTCATTGTCATGCGCTTGGCCGTGGCGCTCTGGATATTGGGGTTCTTTACGGGGCCCATCTTCTTTGGGCCAATGTCCGAGCTGTTTGGTCATGTTGTCGTCTTCTTCACATGTGTTGTTGGACTGTCCATCTTCCAAATTCCCGTAGCCGTGGCTGAAAATGTGCAGACGATTCTTGTCTGCCGATTCTTTTCTGGCGTGTTTGGAAGTGCGGCGTTTGCGGTCGTGTCAGGCATGTATGTCGAGCTATATGAGCCAATCCCACGAGGCGTGGCTCTAGGCATGTCGTCAATATGTATCAATCTTGGAGCGACAATTGCTCCCATTGCCGGTGCGTATCTTACCAGCGGCGACGGCTCGGAATGGCGGTGGACGGCCTGGGCGACGCTCATCATCATGGTCACCTTTGGCATCGCTGCCATATTTGGCGTGCACGAGTCTTCCTCGCGCATGATCTTGCGGAACAAGGCCAAGCGTCTTCGTTTCGAGACCAAGAACTGGGCTCTGCACGCCAAGTCTGAAGAGACTCGTGTCGACATGCATGATATCATTCATCGATATCTGACCAAGCCGATGCGCATGTTTGTCACGGAGCCCATCCTCATTATATTCACTGTATACTTGACCTTGGTGTACGGTACGCTCTACCTATCCTTCCAGGCCTTCCCGATCGCCTTTCAGCAAAGAGGTTGGTCTGCCCAGCACAGCTCATTGCCGTTTATCGCCGTCATGTGCGGCATCATCTCGGCTTGGGGTATCCAGTCCATCTTTACAGTGACCTGGTACAAGAGCCGTGTCACGAGACTCAAGGGTGCCGCCCCGCCACCAGAATTCCGACTGCCGCCGATGATGGCCGGGGCCGTCATACTCCCGCCCTCGCTGTTGTGGTTCGGCTGGTCCGGCAATGTCCACCCAGCTTCGCAGATTATCGCGAGCTTCTTTATCGGCCTGGGTCTCATGCTGATCTTTGTGCCCGGCATCTCCTACATTGTTGACGTCTACGGCTTCCACTCCAACTCGGCCATGTCCATCCACGTCGTCGTGCGAAGTCTAATCGCCTGCTCGTTCCCAATGTTTGCAACCATCATGTACGACCAGCTCGGCGTGGCGTGGGCCTCGTCGCTGCTTGCGTTCCTTTGCATTGCTTTGGCGCCGGCGCCGGCTTTATTCTGGATATATGGTAAAAAGATTCGGAGTTGGTCAACCTTTGCTTTTGATTAATCTAGCATAACGCAATTGATTTCATATAGATATTAGATAATAGAATAGAGACATTTGGTCAAGTATTCATGAAGACTCTTTCTTTGGTATCAATCGTGAGTCATTTACATTGATGCTTTCTCATCTGCTTGACATCCAAATCAAAATGTTACATGCAACAGCCAAGTAATCGATGATATCTCAGACACGGTACATAAAAACTATATCTTCCTGTTATCGCTCCTGAAACATTGACTAGCTTGCTACAGGTTCTTCCGCGGCCAACCAATGCTTCCCAGAGACTGAGCCAAGAAGCTGTCTTGACCATGGGCCAACACGCCCGTGGCAATGGCCTGGGACGGAAGCGCCATCTCTTACCGCGGCACCGATAGGTCCTCGACCGGCTGCGCATTGTCTTTTTGACCGAGCTGCACACATGGGTCGCAGATCGCATCTCGCGTGTCGAAGCAGTCCCCCGAGTCACATAGGGTGCTCGATAATGGGCGCATTATTGGACATCAAGTCTTGGGTGTACCAGCGTCAGCATGCCCAACGATGACAGCCCTGTGTCTTGACGTGCGTGCCCTTGATTGCGCGGCCGCAGATCGATCGATGGGCGTTCCTGCGTTCTGCATTACCATGGCGAATATCTCTCATCTTGGTGTTGTTCTTTGCTGTTGACTCTGGGCTCGACCGAAGGGTCTGTCCATTGCACATAGGGCTCGCGGCTCAAGTTGGCCACGCCAGTAGCGGTGAGCGATGTAAGTAATCTTATGCATCCTTTTTCCTCGTGGACTGGCCAGAATCGTGATCGTTTGGGTGGAAAACATTTGTCAACACAAAAAAAACAACAACAACATGTTTTCCATATCACGCGACTGATATGTATTGATGGTTGAGACATCATTACTTACATAACTTCGCAGTGAGTGCAATTAGTGTGTGTACTGCATTAGCTCCACTCCGTGTAGTCAGAGCAACATGACGATAGTATAGTACCGTTTGCACACACACGATCGGGCAGCTTCAAATGCTATTAGCATTTTCGCTAACACGAATACCTTGCTTGCTTGTACGGACCCCACCAGCCCTAGGCGGAACGTCGGTTGATAATGCCAGCTTCATATTCTTCATGAGTTTGTGCGTCGCTTCGAGGATCCATTACACAGATTGATTGTCGCTTCGAGGATGGGCTAATTCTTGGCTGACGTGCAGATAATTGGAACCCCATTGGCATTGCAATCTCAGGGACAAAAGAGGTGGATGAGGTTATTCTTATGGATGAAGGCGTAATGGTCAGATGCCAAGAGAAAGGAAACTTTATTCAATGAGATTCAGGGGGTTATATACTGTAGTCAAGACAAAGGGGGCATCCCAAGTTCAGAGCATTTAACCTGTTACCTAGTATTCGTAAGCACCTCCGGCATTTCGCAACAGATGAGTGAAGCTGTTCCTTAATCGGTCTTGGTCAATGTCCTTGATTGGCCAATGTCTACAGGGGCCACTATTACCATGACCACCATCTTGGCAGGTAGAAAGCCGGGCACGTTCCGGTATCGAAATTGCAACGTACCGACGATCTTTGGGGGGCGGCGTTCGTCTGACTGACGCAAGATATTTCGGACGAATCAAAGGGGCTATTCCGGTTTTGTTTAATTGGCCTTCGTCCAAACAAATGATCAGTCTCGATAATGAAGGGGAAAAAAAAAAAGGTTTGCATACTGCGTGTCCCGCTGAACTAGGTTGTGGGATCTAGGTCGCCTACATTAGTGCTGCCGGCAGAGCTTACAGGGTATATCAGATTCAGGAGTAAGTATCCGGGTCTAGTGTAGCATCTTGAGATTCTAGGCCCTGGGTAGGGGAACAACCCAGGATATGACGTTTCCAGTATTTACCAATTTCACGATGTTTGTTAGACGATCTTCATAGGCGCTTCGTTTCTGTCGCTCCCTCCTGTTACTTATCCTTTTGTTGCAACATGATGTTCATTGTCCTTAAACCTTCTAACCCTGGTGGCCAAGACTTACAAAACTGCCGTTGTTCCCGAACGGCTGGGCGTGCGCGCCTCTCCCTCCGGCTAGAACGGCAGGTTGTTGCAACTTGTTGCTCGGCACTGTTGGGGCCGCGTACTCTGTACTCAGCTTGCATTCCAATCTGCAAAACAACCAAACATTTTCTTTTTCCCCTTTCTCTACTTTCTTTCCCGTTTGCCAGCTACGACCTGATAGTTTTTATCAAGAACAGTCTCGGAATCTCTTGACATTTGACCCAACAGGGTTGTGCCTTGTCTTTGCACCAACATCCAGCGAGTCGGGTCGCCTATCACAGCTCGTACTCGGAGATCATATCCTGAGATCTTGTTGAGCACCATTGAACTAGCTTCTCGGCGCCAGATGGACATTCTAACAGATCGTATGCCTGGGCCTTGTTTACGGGTCTTTTTCAACATAAGCATCTGATCCACTCTGGTCACAACATCACATCCGGGGGCAAGACTGCGAGTTTGTCATTCCCAGTCATATGGCAAGATGTTGAGCAATATTCTGCGGCCTGCTCGTGTGAGCGCCTTCATGGCCACCATTATAGCCAAGAGGCGCTTCCTCATTGCCCTTGGCATACCTCTCATGATTTTATGTAAGTGTTTCCCATATGTGGATCTTTAGAAACGTCCAAGACTTACTGACGTTCACATTAAGGTATGCTCATGTCTGGAATCGTTGTCGATGTCGACACACATACCAACTCCGACGTTCTCAACGGCGTCCGTGTCGGCCATTTCCCCTCGAATTCGTCGGCCGCACACTCGAATGGGACCATTTCCCCGTTAAAGGAACGACCAGCCATGACTTATAAGGGCTATGGGCGACCAGGTTATGAGCTCCCTCTGGCGAAAGGCATCCCTCTGCGGATCTTGGCTGTGGGGGCATCGACAACGAGAGGCGACAGCCCAGTTGAAGTTGACAACAATGGCTTCCGCCGGCCGCTTCGCCAGCGTCTCACCGCGCTCGGCCACAAGGTCAACTTTGTTGGTACTGACAGGCTGGGTAACATGACGGACAATGACGTCTTGGCAGGACCCGGCGCCCAGGTGCACATCATCAATGAGATGGTCAAGCCCTTTGCCGTTCGAAGCAAGCCCAATGTGATTCTCGTCAACGCTGGCACCAATGACTGTCTGATGCATGTGGACATTGACAATTTCTACAAGCGTTACGATAGCTTGATCCAGTATCTGCTAATGGCATCCCACAAGGCCACTATTGTAGTTGGAACACTGCTGCCAACATGGAACACGTGGTTCAATGGCAGAGAAGATGTGTTTAGAGTGAACCCGCAGATTCGAAGATTGGTCAAAATCTATCAGAAGCAGGGACTGCCAGTGGTACTTGCAGAGATGCAGGGCCCTGATGGCATCCAGGATGAGAATCTGGCCGAAGATGGTAAGCCTTCAAGTAAGAGACGCATCTACATTCAGTAACTAATCGTGTCTGGACAAAGGTATGCATCCGGCAAAACCGGGTTACGAGATGATGGCGACCAAGATATTCGAGGCCATAGTAGAGGCTGATGCTCGAGGCTTTCTCCTACCACCTGAGAATGTCCCCTGGATTCCCGACGACGGCGAAGAAGAGAGAAAGAACGAAGAAGGTTATCACCGATGGTACAAGGAAAAGGACGAAGCTCAAGCCGCATGGATTGCTCACGAAGAGTCAGAGATGGCCAAGATGGAAGCTGGGCTAGAGATGATGCGGCAACAACGAAAGGCATCCGGGTGAGGGAACTGAATGGATAAGACAATTATCATTCAAAACACATCGCTGCTAGGAGACTCGAGGTACATCCAATATGTCGGGTAGTGAAGCCTACAACTCAGCTTGCGACGCTGCATCCCTCCAGCCGAGACTGAATGGCGGACGTACCTAAGATCGCGCTGCTGTGGCTTTTGTCCAGAGGAGCACGAGCGTACAAAGGAATTACAACAACAACACATCGACATGGCGCCAACCACGAAATGGTGCTACGCAGAAACACAACAAGTTGGTACTTACCAAATCTGTCGCTCCAAAATATCGATTTGCCCGGCCTGGAGTAAACATAGAAGAAGAAATCGATGCAGCTTCGATACGGCTCGCCAATGTCATGACTTTGGGAAGCATCGTTGCATTAGCCACGTTGCGGGATCTTGGCTTCTTCCTGTATGATAGATATAAAGCCCATAAGAAGACAACGGTGTTTATACAGTACAGATACACAAGTAATTGAGAAATCAAACCTAGACTTGGCGTTTACCAGGTTGTGCTGGAAGTCGGTGAGTGGGAAAATATCCGCGACTTCGGAAGAGCACAGGTGAATGTCCAATGCGTCTATCCCAGCTAAAAGCTCCGACTTTCGAGCAGGTCCGATGAGCGGTTCTTCTGCTTCTTCTTCACCTACATGATGCATGGCTTGGTCCCCGTTAGGGCTTCCGAGGCGGGCAAGTTATTCCAGTATTGGGTTGCGGAATATATCTGCAATGTTGAAAGCTATGCCATGCTTACGGGCGGGCGGCGCCTACAAGCATCATGGCACTGATTGAGTCGCCTCCCAGCTGGAAAAAGTTATCGTCGAGTCCGATTGTGTCTGCCTTTGGGTAAACTTGCTCGGAGTGCCAAGACAAAGATTCCGCGGTTCCGTTGACGATGCCGAGATATTGGCTCTTCCGGACTCTGGATCCGAACCAAATCTTGTGTCGTTCGTTTTGTGTGCTGCCATCCCTGTGCCCGGGCAAATTCGAACACCTCAGACAGGAGACTGTTGCAATTCGCAGATGGAAGTACGACTGAAAGTGGAGGATCGATCAAGGAAGGTGGAGATTCGTTCAAAAAGCAACCGCAGAAAACCAAGTGCGTTCGCAGACTTTCACATTCTCCGTGGCTGCGCCTACATTGTGATAATTGGACAGGATATACCTGAGGAGACCGATGCATTCCTGCAGTACGGAGACGACTTTGTGTAGTCTGTCAACGCCGGAACGGTGGTCTTTGGACTGCAGCCTATTCCAGCCTGGATGAAACAGGCTATGCTCGCGGCGGCAACGCCCTGGGACTAAGTCCAATCAACCAAACATGGTTCGTGATAGATTCGCGGTGGTGGAATGAAGGAGATGACGACGTGGTACACAATGCGACGCGATCGATTGCCGACGCGATCGAGAACAGCTCCATGAAAGAAGGCGTCCATGTTGATTACCTACCTATTCATGAACGATGCCAGTTGGGACCAGCCAGTCATCAGTCGCTACGGGGCGGACAGTCTTTCAGGGCTCAGAGATGTCCAGGGGTATGATGATCCAGATCGTGTCTAAAGAGACTCATGCCTGGAGGATTCAAGTTGCCTTGAGAATGTAGCATTCATTTCACTTCGCTCAAGCAGATTGCTCGGCAAAACCCGCAAACCCTAGACAGAAATGAAACCCCAGAATCCTATCACAAGTCATTTCCAATAAACACGGCGTCTACTCGCTGAAGGTGGCAAAGAAAGCGAATGCAACCCGGTCAGAATGCACAGTGGATTGACTGAAGGATCCGATAATGGACATGGTAGGCAGCAGGAATAAGCACAGCAACCCAGACAGGCCAGACGAGATGCGCGCAACCATTGCTGACGGCATGACCTCCAAAAATTGAACCCTGGGCAAGGGCCGGGTATGGCGTGTTCCGGTGCTTTTGCATGTACCGCCATCTCTCATGGTATCATGGTAATCATATCATGGACATGCAGCGAGTGCTACTCAAATGCGGCGAGCCTGCCAAGGTTCGTGCAAGAATTGCCACTCCAATCCATATGAATTCGACCACTACCAGCGTTGTCGCGCATTTGTATTTTGGGGGGCGAACACTAAATTTAGAGTCGGTTCTAGCGTTGCTATACTCCGGATAGTCTCGAGAGTCTACCTACTTATTACTGCCTGGGTGGGAGCTTTTGTTAGTGTTACGCCAGGTTGCAAGTGGGTTCGTCGGCCCGTTCCTTGCTCTACACTTAATGTAGGTAGGCGAGGTAGGTGTAGGGCACTTAGTTGTTAACTAAGTAGGTAGTCTGCCATGCAGGTAATGCAAGGCATAGCACGAGGTGGTTACACAGTACAGACAGAATCGATCAACCAAATTGCTTGCAGGGAGTAGAGATTTACACCTGCATCGTGGGATTGTTGCTCCTTGGGGTATTGCTGTCATGGGCTCAAAAGCCATCTTCACAGGCGTCAGCAGCTCGCTTGCCCTTCCTGCTGCTGGTATCTTGGCCCTGCCAGGACCGTGGGCGGCAAGTTAAGTAACTATACAGTGCGCAGTATCTACCTTTTTATCGTGCATCCGGCCTTGGCATCCAGACGACCCCGGCTTCGTCCTTCGGTCCCGCCGGCGGGATCAGCCTTTTCAACATCACACGGTGCCCCCCTCTTGGTATTCCAACAGAGAAAACACTCCTACATTGCTCAAGGAGCTCTGTAAAGCATACCGTAGACGAGCGTCAAGTGTAGTGAGTGTTCACTCAGTTTTATTGTAAATCGATTATCAGTGTACTCGAGCCTTGCCCATGCCGGACAAATATGTCAGCGATGCTTGTTCTGCAAGCCAAAGTCATCAGCTTTGGGATCCCTTACCCAAATCGGTTCGTGAGATATGTGCAGCCAGCCTCATTGGAAATCTGTGCCAGGGGTTGTGGCGCTCCTGTCCTCCCAACCTTCAGAAAGAACATACTGTAGTACCCAAAATCCCCTGTATGTGTAACCCCAAAGCCCCTCAGCCAAGCAAAATCTCATCCTTCCCTCCCACCCTCATCCTTCCTCTCGCATGCACCCGAGTATTTGATTCTGCTTTAAAATGTGGCCCAATATAAGCGTAGGTAGGCCATTCATCCCCCTGCTGGTTTTCGACGACCAGCTGCGTGCATTGCCTTAGGTAGGTTGCAGTGCGTTATGTGCCGCGATGACTGTGTTCCATATGAATGTTGCTCCTAGGACTTGCTACACTTTAATGAAATCCCCCGTGTTTCCCGGATGTGGCGTGATGAAGAAATTTAGCTAATGATCAATCACCATACTCTGTGTCCATCAATAATGCCTCATGGCATCTAAGACGACATCGTCGGCTTTTTAGCAGCATCTTTCTTTATCCCAAGCCGAGCAGAACATACAGGATTCTCAGATCGTCGCTCAAATGGCTTCCAATGTGTCGTTCGACAGCCTCATACCTCCTCCCGACGAAATCATTGACACCCACAAAGAGTACAAAATCGCTATAGTTTGTATCTTCCTGGGTGTTCTTGCGTCTCTCTGTGTCGCGAGTCGCTTGACCGCGAGATTTCTGTCGCGATCATGGGGATATGATGACTGGGCTGTTATTCCCGCCACGGTAAGTCGGCATGCGTAGCAAAGGAGCTACTGCTGATTCTTTTCAGGCCTTTTACATTGGTTGGACCGCATTGGCAGCATACATCAATCTTCACGCTGGAGTGGGCAAGCCGCTCGAAGAGATCACGGTGGGAGAGTTTTCTCTCTGGTACAAGGTAAGGCGCGGACCTCAAGAACGAGACGGGCCTCATCTATGCAGCTGTGCATGCTTCGTCTCACTGTTCAGCCCTGGCTTACTCTGTATTCCGGCAGGGAGTCGTCGTCACAACATGGCTGTATCCTATCATGTCAGCCACGATTAGGATATCGATATTGCTATTCTACCGTCGCATATTTGCTATTGCGAATGGAGCCTTCATGAATTACGCCATCTGGATTCTCCTAGGTCTCCAAGTCGCCTACATCATAACGTTTTGTGTCCTTCCTGCCTTCATGTGCCAGCAACTACATTACGCCTGGGACGTGTACGAGCACCCGTTGCACTGCAATGACTGGTACTACTTCTGGTCGCAAATAGCACTATACAGTGCCAGCATGGCGTTCGACACGATACTGCTCTTCTTCCCGATTATACCAGTCGTTCGACTTCATTTACCGACAATAAAGCGGGTAGGAGTCCTGGTCATATTTATGCTTGGAGCTGGGTAAGAGCACTTTCTCGTCCGTATTTGGGATCTCTTAGACTGACAGCCTTGCTACCGGTTACAGCGCAAGTATAGCTTCCGCATACAAGCTTGCGGTATTCGACATTGAGATGAAACGCTACGAGCCCACAAACCCTCTATGTACGTTGAGACATAGCGACGCATCTTTCTTCTGTTTACTGACCAGAGGATGACAGGGCTTACGTATAGAATGTCGCGCTACATCCCGGCACAATTCGATCGATATGGCTACACCTTTTGGATCCCATCTCAAGTCGAGCCGACAGTGGCGCTGATCGGAACTTCCCTGCCGGCTCTGCGACCATTCCTCGCGTCAGCCTCGGAACGAGTCTCGCAGTATTTTCAAACCCATATCACTTCACGCTCGACGAAGTCGACCTGGCAAACGATCACGCCCGCTCACGCAAGCGGGTTTGTGGCTACCAATAGCTCGGAGACCGAGCTATGGGATGTTAGTAGAAGCAAAAGCCCGAGGACGACCATTAGTGCCTGAGAGCTCTCGTACGAACGTCGCGAGTTTCCAAGTTACTACTCCTGGATTATGGGCATCGAAGATATGTGTGGCAATAATGGCAATGTGGATGAACTAATTAATGAGTGTCCCATATGCAGTAGCCATCCATATGCCGCACCAGTCAGGATGTTGCTTTGACGGGAAAAGCGTTTGTTGCCGCATGTGTGGGTGTAATCTTGGTTTCGGAAAAGTCATCTTTGCTTCCTCGATTGATTTCTCAGACAGTATTTACACAATGAATCAAATAACAGTCAATCAAGCGAGGCGCCATGCCCAAGCAGTGAATCAAACGAGTGGCGATGGTTCAAGCCTACAATTGCACTTATTCTTGCAGTCGGTGCTGTGTTTTTCCAAGTGCAGCCAGCGCGTAATCACCAGCAGCATCGCTGGCATCAACCCAGCAACAGACGATAGTTTGCAATGCTATATATACAAGAGTGATGTTGGCTCAATTGCTCCACATCCAACGCTTCGCTGCTTCTTTTTAATACACGCAACCCGTGCTGACAAATCCAATAACGAGATACACATTCGCAGTAGAAGACTGCGACAAGCGTATTGCGATTCCCGGTGTTGTCTCCGGCGGCGACCTGGGGTTGTCTGCTCACCATCCCTGCCGGAAGGATTGCAGCCACGGCAAGGGTCACGTCACGCACCGTACCTAGTTATACAGTGCTGAAAGAATACATAGTATGAAAACCATATGGCTTGTGACTATTGCATCGGCTGAAATGCAATAGAGGAACTTTTGTCGTTCCCATGCCCCATCGCCCTTTTATCGATGTCAGCTCGGCTGCATTATCAACATGCTTGCTGTATTACCCACGTGGCATGTATAAAAGGGCACTGCAGTGTCGCAATGCTCTTTCCGCCAACTGCATGACTTGTGTAACACTGACACTGCCCCCTCACCCGAATGCCATGGCCCGATTCTGTAGCATCATTGCCTATTTAGGCCTTTGTCTCTTATATTTAAGAGCCTCGGTCGATGCTGCTGCTGGTGCTGCACCTGCGGCCAACTACCACCCAGGCAGAGGCGTAAAAATGACAGCCGCGCTGGACACCTTCGGCGCAAGCATCGGCCTCTCTCCGCGAGAGATACAAACTCTGGCCTCGGCTCACCAGCCGCCGAAACGTGATTCTGGCAACTCATCACAATCAATCAGCCAGGCTTGCGCGGCTGCTCAACTTGCAATCGGGGAGGCCAACGTCGATACTGCTCCAGTAAACGAGACGCTCGCGGCGGAGAATTGGTGAGGATTGCCCTTCTATTCCCGGACACCAACCAGCATTACCTGACATCAGGATTCCCCAGGTCTCAGGCTTGCGTGTTTCAGCCTTACTGCATCGTCCAGCCTGCCACCACAGACGATGTGTCAAAGGTCCTGAAGATCATCAAATACTATGGGATTCAGTTTTCCGTTCGAAGTGGCGGCCACTCGCCAAATCCGGGCTGGTCAAACACGCAGAATGGATTCCTCGTCGATCTGCAGAAGCTGAACCAAATCGCCCTTTCTACTGATGGAGCCGTCGCCAGCGTGGGCCCTGGAGCTCGCTGGGGCGACGTGATTGCGTATCTGGACCAGCACGAAGCGGCCGTGGTCGGAGGCCGGATTCCCGCTGTAGGAGTCGGCGGGCTGATGTTGGGAGGTACGTCCGCTGCCGAGAGAGAGAGCTCTAACCGGCATGGTAACGCTGCGTCTGGGTTTCACATCACTCACATCTGACAGGTGGCTTATGGCATTTCTCGGGCGCCTTCGGCACGGCTGCTGACAACGTCAAGACCTTCGAGGTAAGATCCGAGCAGCACACGATAAAGAAAGAGGCCATTTGCTAAGTGTTTGTCATTGCAGGTTGTTCTGGCAGATGGTACGATAACCCACGCCAGCCAGACCGAGAACTCGGATCTGTTCTGGGCTCTCAAAGGAGGTGGTCCCAACTTCGGAGTTGTGACTCGGTACGATCTGAACACGGTGCCTGCACGAAACATTTGGTACCAGGTTGCAGTTTACAGTGTCGACCAGGCACCCGCCATTCTTGACGCATTTGCAGAGTGGCAAACCAGTGGTGCCGCCGATGTGAAATCCACTGTTGCTATGATCTTCAATCTCGATAGTATCCTTCTTGGCTTCTTATATGCTGAGCCTTCAGACCAGCAGCCAGAGGCGTTCACTTCTTTCGACTCGTTGCCAGAGCCGCTGATGTATGCTCTGCCCGCCACCAACGGTACCGTCGCCAGCTTGACAGATTTTCTGGGCAGCGCATTCACCGCCGAGCCTCTGAGGTAAGCCACGAGTCTCGGTAAGCTGGCTAGAGCCTCGCTGACAGTTCTACAGGCACGACTACCGTGCTTGCAGCACTCGCGTCGATGCAGGACTGTACAAAGACACCTACAGCTTCTGGCGGGAGCGAGCCCTTCAAGTTCGCGAGACCACTGGAGCCAACCAGACGTTCACGATTCAGCCGATCTCGAAGAACTTTGCTCAGCAGGGTCTCGAGAAGGGCGGAAACCCAATGGGTATACCCCTTGAGGATCACCAGTGTAGGTTTCAAGCTTGTCCTTGAATAATGAAACAGACACGCTGACATGACATCGTAGGGTGGACGACTCTTGTCGATTGGGAAAATGCAGAGGACGATGAATTGGTAAGATCGGTCTCGATTGACACCACTGCCGAAATGCAGAAGCTCGCCAGTGAACGTGGCTTGGACCTCCCTTTCAGGTTCATGAACGATGCGTCCAGAGATCAGAACCCGCTCGCGTCTTATGGGGAGGAGAACGTTGCAAAGCTGAAGACGATTGCACAAAAGTATGATGCAGATCAGCTGTTCCAGAGACAGACAGACGGATTCTTATTATCAAAGGTGTGCTGATTAGCATGTGGTTGGAATCTAACCTGCTTGATTATAGTCAAACTATGTACTCCTTGAATAGAACTAGAAATGTCCTGAATGGCCAAGATGGGGGTGGATTGGAGTATGCTTATACCGATCGACGTACATCTTTCAGTTGCTTGATAGTCATGAGGTATTCATGATCAAGAGCCGTAAGTTTCTGATGAGATCCGATGGCGGCGCTGAGGTATTCGGAGTGTAGCTGGCTGTGCCGTTGAGCCACCACCACCACCTCTACTCATGCCATACCGTCCATATGCCCTGTGCCAGTCCCTCGAAAGAGGCATCGCAGGGTTCGTGATACGCAATCCCCAAATACCGTTTTCAGCCTTAACTAGATTTTGCATTTTAAGGGACATAGGACATAATCTGGAAACCCGCCCTGATTTGCGCATGATTTATTTTGCTTCGCCTCGAATGTGCTTTTTTTTTTTTTTTGTGGCGCTATATATTTGGAAAGTCGCAGCGAGTATTTTAGCGGCGGTTTTCCTTAAAGAGCTTTTGCTATTAAATAGTAGAAGCCAAAACAAGTACACGTGGTTACGCACTGGGCGATACGCGCACGCACACAGACTTGTACACTCGAGCTCTTGCCATTGAGCGTGAGTTGAGCGCATCTCATCATGACGGCAGGCGGCGGCCCGATTGAATATTCCACGACGGAAGTTTCATGCTTGAAGCTTTGCGCTGCGACACCACGCCACTTCTTGCCCAAAGGTCTTTGCAGTATGCTACCATTTGGAACGATGAAGGCCTCGCCGCCGACAGCGACACGGGCCGTTTTACCTTGACAGTCCCACTGGTGTAGTTTCCCACGTGGCCAGCATGATATCGCCATTGTCAAAGGATTTGCGCACAAGTTCTGGCAGGTCGCCAAAATCAGGGTCTGGGCCGGCACGAGACAGCTTGATCAGAGGGATATGAAAAGGGGAGTCAATGAGCGGGAGACCGGCGATGGGAAACTCGGGGGACTTGACGTTTGCCAATTTCTTGCGATCGTGAGGGAGATGCAGCCACCGAGCGACCGGCCTAAAACAACCATTTGAGTCAAATCAATCGACAATCACGACGGGATGGCTCCCACGTACCTCCTCGCAAGATGGGTCCTTGAATACCAGCGTTCTTGATCAGTGTTATGTAATGATCGGCCATCTCGTCTATGTTGCCCTGCCATAGCTCACTGATGGAATAGTGAGGGTCGTGGAGGGCCCAGACATCGCGATCCAGGCTTCCCAAGCACAAGTAGGCAAAAAGGCCGTACCACCACCATCATGGATAAGTACAAATGGACTTGAACTTTGATCTTCTTCTGGAAAGTATTGTATGCCCAATGCGTTGTCCTCCATGGCGCTTGCATACTGAAGTCGCGTCGACGAAGCAGCAGAATGTCGAGAATGCCACCCACGAAAGACGGAGAGTAGATTCAGCTGCCGGCCGGTATAATGTTGCACGTTTAATTATGAGCATCGAAATCAGGAGTCCCTTTTCGGACATCGGATGATTGAAATCAGTAAACCTGCATTAATCTAAGAATCAGTAAACCACCAGACCAATGGAGGTTTACTGATTCGGATTGGTCGTAGGCAAACGCGTGCCTGATCTTTCCCCCTCTTGCAAACGTCAACACCAAGCCGCAGGCTCGCGATGCACAATCAGTACAGTGGTGGGGGACCAGATCTTTCTTTCTATAAATCAAAGGCCCCTGCTCCCAGAAATTTTTCAACTTTTTCCTTCCCTATTCTTCTTCTTCATGCTCACTCAGCAGAGTTCAAATCCTGAACCTCCCACACACACTACTACAGCAAGCCTCAAGCAACGCGATCATCAAAATATCTTTCACAAGATGTCTGCTGTTTGGTCTGAACTCTCTCACTACGCAGATTGCATGCGCCCCGACCCAGACTCGGCAAGGCTTGTCCGAATGCAGCGGGTCATCACTGGCTGTAAGAAGAATCTTCCAAATCTTAGAGCGTCCTGTTGTTCCGACACTAATCTTTGCCTCTTGAAAATCAGACATTCCAGTCGCCCAACTCTACGATGATGGAATCGAGTTCCTTCACCCTGATGTTATCTCGGATGGAAGCTACGCTGGCCCGTCACGTCGCAAGATTGCAGTTGTCCCCTCGCAGCTCGCCGAGCGTTTAGCCAACGTCGCACACAACGCCCCCAATGGCCAAGCCGACGTCGCTGTTCGCCGCTACATGGACCAGTTTGTCGATTACAGCACCTTGATCGACATTACGCTCGAGGAGGAGAACGAGCTCAGACAGTCCTTGGGAGCCCCTGCCACCTATCCCACAAACCACCTGCTGCTTGAGAACTTCTCGAAGATGCCTAGGGTCTACAAGCTCTGGGCTCCCATGGCCACAACTGTCAGCCTACACTCTGGCCAAGCAACAGTCGAATTCAGGGACAACTTCAGCAGCCTCTTGATCAGCGTTGGAGTCAAGGACATGGAGACGTTCAAGGTCGAGCCAGCTCCGACTCCGACTGAAACGGAGCCCGAAGCCAAGCCCGGGCGACTTCGCCAGTTCCTTGGTTTGTTCTTCGCGTCCAGCGGCTCTTCATCTTCTTGGAGCAGTGGTTACAGCACAGGCTACGGTAAGTTTTCCCCTTTTCTAGATTCCTGTCCTGCCACTAACACTTCTGATTTAGGCATGTACAGCAGTGATTATTGAAGGACCCGCTGGTGGCGCTCAGATGTGGACAGAATTGAATGGACCTTCAAGGCTCACGGTAGCCAGGATATCATTACCGTCTGGATCAATTTGTTGACGGAGTCGATGTGTTACAGATACGGGTGTATGGCTTGGTGCATACAAGGAAGGACATGATGGTATGGATAATGTATGGTTCGATTCACTTGATGATACTAAGTGGAATCGGCTTGACGCAGAAAAGAATGCGCATGGGTCGAACAGGACTGGCTTGCAAATGTACTGTCATCGAAGTAGCATCGATCTCTTTCCGTTGACATGACCAATGCACATCAAAACCCCCCGTCCCGTTCATCAAGCAAATGTGAAGCTGTGCTGCCTAGAGTCACTTGAAGGCAAGACCATTATGCTCGGGTCTCCTTCCTCCCCCTGCCCCTCCCCCACCATCTTCTTCTATTGCAAACGCCATCTCCTGCAGTGAGTCAAGGCGTGATCAGCCGGCCGCGTTTGTTATGGCATGATCAAGCAGGCTGCGCGCCTTTGTCAGTTGGCGGGTCAACGCCAACACCAGGCTGCTGGCTCGTGATACGCAATCAGCAATTCGAGGGGGGCCAGAATTTTTTTCTTCCCCTTTTTTCTTTTGTCCGAATCGAGCTCACTGCAGCACTCGAGTCTCAGAATCCTGCGCGTCTCGTTCTAACCGGACGTTCAATCGATAAGATCAAGACAAGTATCGCTGCGCTTAAAGTCCTGTGTTCCAAAGTCAATCACGATACCCTTTTGCGAAATTTGTCATCGTGAACATCACGTCAGGGCTGCTGGGGGGAGAATCAATACTTCTGGCGCAAGATCTAAAATCCATGGAGTCATTCATCATGTAGGGGTCATTGCCAATTCAGAACAGAAGCTCACTGAAAGGGTCGAGCTCATCTTTGCGACAAATCATGTTGGACATTTTCTCTTCACTAGCCTCATCATCGGCAGGTTTATTGCAGCCAATTAGGCCCAGGAGACTCGGTTCAGAACTGTCAACGCGACTTCTTTTGGGCACTACTTTTCTCCATTTCGCATCTCCGACATCAACCTGAACAAGAACGCCCATTGATGCAGATTACCAAGCAGTTTTGCGACAAGGATCTTTCAAATGTGAGCTACGAGGGTGTGATCGCATACGCTCACAGCAAGACTGCCAATACCCTATACACCATGTCCTCGGACCACAAGCTTTGTCAGCAAGTACAGTATCGAGTTATTTGCAGTCCACCCATGATCCGTCAACACCATTGTCAACCAGCACTTTGGACAAGAACAACTGCAAGTCCTGATGGAAACAGAAAAAGAAGAAGAAGAAAAGTAGAGAGGCTGGGAGTACCACACTTCACCAAGTCCATAGAATAGGGAGAGGCACCTTTCAGCTTACCGCTGTGAGCACTGTCTTGGACGCGGGTGACACATCGAGATCGATAGTCAAGGGCATTCATCTTGTAGATTGCAAGATGTCCAACGACGATTGTGATGGTACCGACTACGTGGACAGAGCTGAACAATGAGGACGCCGATAATGTGATTTTCATCTTTGGCTTCATCCAAGCTTCCATCCAGGGTAATGGATTGACTTTGGGGAATCCAAAGTCTCCATGCAAATGTTGTCTGCCAATGCATGGACCTCAACTGGTACTAGGCGCACAAACTTTTCAAACCGGTGACATGGAGTCTCCGACCGCGTCCTTCCCTGGGGAAAAGTTTTTCGATGGCTCACGATGTCCTTGCCTACCAGAAAGTACGCGAGGCGCGCCTGGCCTGATGGATGTTGTTGTTATTGCTGAGTTGCGATGGACATCTGAGGATGCTTCGGTACCGGGTACTGAGGGGGCCGTCGGCGCTAGGGCACCCCAAATACAATAGCATCGCGTAGTGACGAGGCCGTCAACGCCTAGAACGCCCTCGTTGATCCCAGCCGCCCTCGGCAGTGAACAAGCCTTTGCTGGACGGCCCACTTCAACGACAAGGGTCGGACCCCAGCGCATCTCGCAGCTACTATAGTACATGATAACCTTGTCAACTCTAGACTGGCCCGATTCTAAGGCAGACACGGGAATACCCAGCGCCACGGTTCGACCCAAGACGAGATGCGGATCCGGGGTTCAGCTCCGATGAAGACTTGCAAGTTGCCAATAATGTGCCGACAGCATTGCATGCGGGTCTCCACAGTCTGACTATGCTTGTCTAGCGGGTCACTCAACTCTAGATCCAGACCTGCTTCGAACAACATTGACAAGAACGCTGCTTGTCCGAATAAAGTCATGAGAGATCAGCTGGATCATAAAACCTGGAATGAGATCAAGTATTAAAGAAGGATGTAATCGCTCAATCCACCATGCTCTGTCTACGGTGCTCGACATCTCAACCAAGCTCTGGCCTTGATAGCAACTGGATTGAACAGAGAGACATAGTCTTTGCAGTTTAATTCTTCTCAAAAAGTCACGATGCTTGCTCGCAGTCTCTGGGGCCTCGCCCTGTCCGCCTCTATGGGATTGGCCGGACTCACGAATACACTGAATCTCCAGACACAAACAGCCATCCAGTGCACTACCAAGAAGACGAGCGTCTCGGTCAAGAACGTGCCAACCTCGACAAAGACATTGCAGCCAGCACCTCAGATTGTTCTTGTACGTTACCAATTCAATCATTTCCCTTTACATATGAACCAAGGTCAAGTACTCACGATATGTTGCAGGCAACAGTGGTTTCGCACCCAATCAAAACCGTCACACCGGCGGCTATCACCAAGTCGAGCACAAAGTACGTCACCAGCACGGTTACGACAACAGCCTCCGAGGAGACAGACACATTTTCAACCACGACAACTTCCGTCGTCACTACCACCGTGACCTCGACTGAGGCATACACTACTACGACGGCAACAACAATATCCACCACATCCACCTCGACCTCTACCATTGCTGCAACGGCCTCTATTGTCCCTGTGGACCAGACGGTCGTAGCCGCCAACTCCAAAAGGGACCTGATCAAGCTTCCGGGTCGTTCTATGCCCATGCCACGGGCCAAGGCTGCATCCAAGAACACGTGCCCTCTCTTCAACGACAAGTTTGCCGCCTCTGTATCATGTATGTATTATAATTACCTTGCCCTTTCACACTGTGTCATAGGGCGCGCCATCATTGAAAAGTAATGGTGGGGAATGAGGTCCTGGATTTGACTGACCGTTTGCAGGTATTAAATCGGTTACAGTCAAGTACGTCAAGCAAATCATCGTTGTCGGTAGCTCCATCACGGTGACGCTGCGGCCTCGTGTGACTACCGTCGTGGTCACCTCAACGTTGACGTCGACGTCGACGGTTCCAGCAGTTGCCGCATCCACCACCCTGACGTTCTCCGAGACATCCACGTCGACTGTCGCTTCCACCTTGACCACGACGGCCACCACAACATCGACGGCGACCGAGGTTGCCACGGCCACGGCGACCTTCTACGCGGCCTGCGGCGACGATAACATCATCGGACCCAAGGGCCCCAACGGCGGGTACCTGGGTGACGTGTACCGTTCCGGCTCGGGCAGTTATGTGTCGGCGTCGGCCAGCTCAAACTATGAGTGCTGCGTCAAGTGCCTCACCTCGTCCACATGCCAGTACTCGGTCTTCTACCAGGGCTCTTCTTGCCTCATGGCCCAGGGCACTCAGTGCAGCGCCACGTTCCAAGCGGGCACCGTGTACGAGACCAATGCCCAGAACCAGTACAACCCTCTGTACCTGTCAAACGGCTACTGTGGACAGGTGATTGATGGTGGGATCGACGACTCGCTGGGTAGTTAAAGACAAGGATAGAAGTCTCGCAAAATGTCGATGGTCTGGGCCACAAGTGAGATTGTACGTAATAAATAATGATGAATAGTAAGATCAAACAATTTACCAAAAGCAATTGACAATAGCACCAGGCCATATGGTCCATTGTAAAAAAAAAAGAAAAAAGAAAAAAAAAAACCTTCTTTAACGTCGATTATACAGCAACCGAAATAATGTTCCGTTCCAATATGCCAATACCGCAGCCGTCTGGGCATTATCAAAGGCCCATTGGTCACAGGCGCCCTAATGGAGGACGATCAATTGCAGGCTTTGTTTATTCTCAGTATATCAACTCGTGGTCGATTTGGTGTCTTGGAGGGTGCTGCTCCGCGATCTAGAGGTGTTTCTAACCTCTGGAGTTTACGATATCCGTGACTCCTGTGGGCAACATTACTTCGACCTGAATTTTTGGCTGACCACTAGGAAACGAGCTTGAGCCACATCATTTGTGTCGTAATCTGGACTCAGACCTGGTAGCCCTTGAAGGTAGATATACACAAATCGTCCTCCAGGATTACAGCCTACTAAGTTCGTACTGTTTTACCACTTTCGATTGATAAATGAGGACTCCAATTGGTAGACCAGGTCCATTGGACGGCTTCCACACTCCACTTCAAGATGCGTGGCTGCAAGTTGCAACTCTACGACTGCAGACTCGTGGGGGCCGCACTTTGTCGTGCAGAACTTTAACCATTATCGACGGAGAGGCAGCACAGAGCCTTGTATGATTTATGCATAAATATAACCAACGTTGCATTATGACAACATAGTTTCTTCCACATGCATTGCCCCAGGTAGCCATCCAATCACCGGCGGCAGACAGACTACCAGCAGCCTGCACTGCACGAATAAAATGTCCCATCTTGGACTCTCCGCCAATCCCCGAGGGACGCAAAATCCACAATTATCAATACTGGGGACGCAAATCGGCCCCAATGTTGCAACAACTGAGTTACCGACATAAGTATATTGATTGACTAAAATGCCGTGGCTGAACAGCCTGAATCTCTTGCCGGAAGGGCCCGCAGGGAGTAAGCCGTGTTTCTATAGGTGATTGGAATGTTTTTCGTCAATTAGACATTATCATTAAAACATCATTGACTTCCAACTGGTATTATGTCAATATGTTGAATTACGAACAGGGACTCGAAGTTGTGCCAGGCCATGAAATTCCCGAGGTCGTCCCCCGTGAACTCGAAAGCATTCCTACGGCGCTAGATCCATGGCGCGCAGTTCATGGACCGTACGAAAAAGAATGCCACGATACTCGGACCAAAACTCCACCTGGCGCCGAACCCCCTCGCCCAGCCCGCGGCATTTTCGGCGCCCGCAAAGCTTGGAAATGGTGGACAATAGTATTGATCTTCGTCTTGGTGGCTATTGCCGCCATACTCGGCGGGGTACTGGGCAGTCGTTCGAGAAGTCAAACAACCGACGATAGCACGACTCCAGTCTCGGACCCCGGAGGTGGCAATAACAGCACGCAAACTTTAGAAATCCGGAATAATTCGTTACTTTCCGTAACAGGGCACATATAAGAAAGCGGCAGCTGGACGGCTAGACTAGTGTTCGAAGGCACTGACGGCAAGTTGCGCTTTATAGACCGAACTGGTCCCAATGGCTTGTGGTCAGCCGTGACGACTTTGGATGACGTTCCATTGGCGCCTAATGGATCCTTTGCTATCTCTACAGATATGGAACATGGGGTATGTATGGTCCTAGTCAATACAGCGGGTTCCGTCGCTAATTCCGCTGTGGTAAAAACAGATGAGTACGGTCGAATACACGCTGTATTATGCGACAGAATCCGGTGAACTTTGTGGGCAAGACTTCGCATACGGGCGGACGCCACTGACCGGAAGTCCTGGCGACATCAACGACGTAAATCTCGCAGCCGCAAATGGATCTTCCATAGCGACATACTTTCCCTATATAGTGACTCAAGACCAAGACACGGGCGAGATGCTGTGGTACGGGTACAAAAATCATGTTGTACCTTACTACTTCGATCTGACTGGATCATCGCTAACCGTGATTGGTGCTCTCTATACCGCCATGCTTGTCCTTCCGACGAACTCGTGGACGTACGAGAGAGTCAATACGACTTTAACGGCGGCGTTCTTCTATCGGACACCTGAGGGTGCCCTGGCTTTCGCCTTGGGAGAGCCAGCGTTCCGAAGCGCCAACGAATCCACTATTGCCAGCTGGACCCCCTATGCAGGCGCGACGCCAAACGTATCTCTGCCGGAACGGAGCGCAGTCGGCGGTTTTGCTGTGGCTTCGGGTATTGACAGCACATATGTGTCTACTTACCTCCTCTACCAAGACGACAACGGGACAATTCAAGTTTTGTTGCCCGGCGGCAAGGGTTGGGACCGCCCTAAATCTTTCGACGCTTTCAACGGCGCGGATAGGGGCACATCGATTGCGTGTCTGACCATGGGAGCCTATTCCCAAAACAACGAAACGAATGTTCCCGTGTCGTACAACACGGACACCAGTCGGTGCTACTTCCAGAGCGAGGGCTTGCTGAAGGAGGCCTGGTATGACGGAGCTGAATGGCGAGATTGTGGCCTTGTAGCTACTGGGCCAGCGGCATGAGACTTTTGGCGATGCAGCCGTGGCGGTTTTGGTGCCTTATGTAAAGTTGGGCCTTTGGCGAAGATGTGATGATGTACAACTCACGAGTCACAAACTTGCTGGTCATCTTAATTTCATGCCCTGGAATAAATTCTATCTTTTTATTTCGTTTATACATGCCGCCACCAGACGGTCCAGGAGGTGGAGGCGTATTTCAATTAACCATGCATGGTACGCAAAGCCGTCCGACTTAAAGGTGCTCAAGCAAAGACGGCATCTCTAATGGGAGTGAGATAAAGATAGGGACACCGAGCTCTCGGTGTATCATCTAGACACCCTTGATCCAAAGGAGGTATGACATTCAACTTTCCACCAGCAAGATATATGACACTAACGGTTGCATATCTACTACGATATTACAGTTCGTGTAAATAACGGCCCGGCCAGACTCGAGGCCAAGTTGACCTTTCGGCCAGGCTTCCTTGGGCACAAGGAGAGAAGCCGGATGGCTTGTATCCTCCCGACTGCGATCGGCGCAATCATTGCCGACCCTTCTCGGAGGGCTGATGACATTAAGCTTGACACCGTGTGATGAGAGGTTTCATTGGAACTCGCATGTATTTGAGGCTACACCAGGCAAACGATCGCAGAAATAAGAAGTAAAACAATAATAAAAGCTGTTATAATCTGTAGATACTCGCCTAGTTGTTAATCTTAGAATTGCGCGCCATAGATCAAGACAAGATACACAAAGATCGTCAAATCGTGTACGCTTGCTGGGTAGAACTAGTCGGATTTTTACCCACTGTTCCACATAGGGGTGCATGGTCCACTTTTCCCATTTTGGAGTTTTGAAATCCAGGCGTAAGAGCTAAAATAAGCCCACTCGACAACAAGCAAGAAACAGAACCTTCTTGTAGTGTAGTGGTTAGCACGTGGGATTTTGACTGTCTTCAAATATTCCCGAGTCCCCGGTTCGAACCCGGGCAAGAAGTGTGCAAACATATTTTTGTCGACTACCAATCTTGATTTATTTTAGACGATTTTTTTGGTTGTGTATAAATATTCATCTTTTGCGACTGCACGTAGTCAGCTGGTATTATGAAATTGCATTCTTTGTCTGAAGGTATCATGCGGTTTGGTATACTCGTCTTGTTTCATTTCTATGGTGTTGCGGTCGGCCATTAAAAATATTGCATGGCGTCTTTGTTTTGCTTCGAGAAGAGCGTCCGGCTAAGTCTCCTTATGTGCATCTCTTTCGAGGTTGCACTGCTCGTAGATATTAATGGATGGGAGGTAGTCTGGTAGTTTGCGCTTTATTTCAAAAATATCGAAGCGCAGATCTATTTGAAATATGCACCATCGGAGTGAGGTCTTGAGATTTGAGTTGAGTATTTATTATGTTTGTCTTAAAGCAGTACTTGATTGACTGTATTGATTTTAACGGATACTGTATAATTATTTCTAGGCATTCTATTACTTTCCCTTTCTGTTTCGTTGCTTTTGGGACCTGCCAGGCAGATTTCCCGCCTGCCGCGGGGTATTCTAACACCGGCGGGGTTTCGATCAAATATGGAGACAAGCTTGGAAGACGATAGCAAGCACATCATCGCCAACCCGGACTCGGTGCGGGCTTATTGGTCAATAATTGAGAGATCAACATCGGAAATAGCCCGAGAACTTACCTCACTGTGCGTCTAATCCGGCCGTCGGCTTTCCTTGCGGATACCCTGCTTTGCTTCTAGTGAGTCAACTCATATACAGCTTGTGTGACGCAAGACACAAGTCCTTCAATACCATTGTTCATACAACTGCTCTTTCTTTCATATGTTCTCGCGAACAGCCCGCTGTACCCTTCGTACACTTGCCCACCGGCCAGCTTCGTCTTCGTCTTCGCTCCTCTTTACGCCCGGTTGCAACGCCAGGGACCGTTTATCGGCACTCATCCGTTCCTCTCCGGATTTCATCTTCCAGCAGCAGCAGCGCGCCAACATGGCCACCGCCGTCGCCAAGCGCCTCTCGGGCAAGACCATTCTGATCACGGGCGCCAGCTCGGGTATTGGACGCTCGACCGCCTTCGAGTTTGCGCGGGCGTCGCCGCAGGACCTGCGGCTGATCTTGACGGCCCGCCGCGCCGACGTACTCAAGGAGCTCGCCGCCGAGATCACCAAGGAGGTGGGCGAGGGCGTCAAGGTCCTCCCCGTGCAGTTTGACGTCTCGAAACCCGCCGAGGTCCGGGCCTTTGTCGGTAACCTGCCTGAGGAGTGGCGGAACATTGACGTGCTGGTCAACAATGCGTAAGTGCCAAGTATTGATTTCCACGTGATCGAGTCTCTACAAATAATGTAGAGACTGCCAGCTCATTCAAGCCTATATCTGCTGCTTGGACAAGATAAAATGGAAACGTCGTGCTAATTGCATCACCCACTTGTACAGAGGCCTGGTCAAAGGAGTCGCTCAGGCGCCCAAGATTGCCGAGGATGATATTGACATCATGTTCTCGACCAACGTGACGGGCCTGATCAACCTGACCCAGCAGATCCTCAACATCTTCCTCGCCCGGCCTGACGGCGGCAAGGGCGACATCATCAACGTTGGCAGCATTGCCGGCCGTGAGCCCTACCCCGGCGGCAGCATCTACTGCGCTACCAAGGCTGCCGTTCGCAGCTTCACTGAGAGCTTGCGCAAGGAGCTGGTGGCATCGCAGATCCGGGTCATTGAGATTGATCCCGGCCAGGTTGAGACGGTAAGTTTTGAGGAAGCAAAAGCGCAGAAACGTTGAAAATAGAATGAGCTGACCAAAATGACAGAACTTCTCCGTGGTTCGCTTTGGAGGCGACAAGGCCAAGGCCGATGCAGTCTATGCGTAAGTGTCTACACCCACTGTCTTTGCACGTCTCCAGCTTCCGCCTTCTTCTACTAACACTTAGCAGCGGCGTTGAGCCCTTGACCCCAGAAGATATTGCAGAAGTCGTTGTATTCGCAGCGGGCAGAAGAGACAATGTTGTGATTGCAGATACTCTGATTTACCACAAGAACCAGGCCGGTGCCACCACCGTCCACCGGAAGACTTAGACGTATAGAATTGCCAAACGACAGAGGACAGGACTTGTATTGAAAAGCAACGTATATTTATTACAGAATATACATCATGACATACTCAACCGGAGAGTACAAGACTTTGCACTGCACTACCTGCATTCCCGAGATACCGATTATCTAAGTCCCTGTGGATTCGCTGACACTGCTTGGTGATTTTGCATAAACTCATGAAGATGAAAGCGATACCATTCCACCTGGCTTTGTTCCGAAGGATTACACTGACATGGTCATCAACTAAACGTCAGGCCTTACCTCTGTCTTGCATGGACGTTTTAACATTGGAACTTGGTGCCAGCATAATGATTGTTTTGACCATTTTGTATTTACTTCTGGCAAAGACTGCTAGTAATAATTATCTAAGAACCTAGGTACGTAGTAGGTAGGCATAATATTTTATAACGTCTACTTGACTGGCGGATGGCCTTCTACGAAACTTACCGTGCTGTAAACTTCATCCTGTCGATACAAATCTGACTATTCCATGGATCAGCAAGGATAAAAAAAAAAAGAGAATCTGAAAAGAAACAAGTAAATGTTTGATTTGAATCAGAAAGCCGTCTTACTCATTCACAGAGACCGGCATCTGACCAGCAGGCCTCAAGACGAAACCTGACAGTCAAACGCACTGGAACTAACATTACGCCCGAAGACAACTCCACAACTGATCCTCGATGCCAGAACGACAACTACAGTGCGGGAGAATGGCTCGGCCCCGGTGAGATAGTTGAATGGATAAACGCGTTTCATCATAAAAGATGGTGCTGGAATACATGAGAATCTCGAGCTTACCTTGCTGCTTGTTGAATAACTCGAACACCGACCGTTGCAACTTAAATATTTTCTATAAACTGAATTTGACAATTAGCCACTGTTTCAAAAACGTGTGTAGTGTCAAATGTGAATTGGAGAAACATGTAATCAGAAAATGTTTTTGGTATAGGGTTATCTTCACAGCGCTTCAGAAGCAGAACTGAAAATAAGGTTTTTCATCACGGACATGTTTGGGGAGGTGTATTGAGGAAGTTGACTTACCCAGTAGTGCCGATGAGACGTTGTACAGTGCCTGTATACGATTGCCTAGTAATCTTGCCCAAAATGTTAGCCATGATCGATCGACAGGTCGTCAATAGTAACAAGGAATTTGAAGTGTGCTTCAGATGGTGATGCATGTTTGTTCTGCGCTCATGGACATCGCTAAGAACTGTGGATAAGAAATCATCAACAGCAGGGGGAAAAGAAGGGTGAAGGCGACAGTCCGAGTGGAAATAAATGAAGCTGCTTACCATTAGTTCTGCATTCACGACTGTGCCGCCTCCAATGGTGAACCAGCAACCACAGCCAAACGAGACAAGTTTCTGAGACGAATACTCCCAACCAACCAACCCTTGTGGCCATTCTGGCAAGGGCGCAGTTGTCGGTCAGATCATTCAGGGCTCAAGATAATCCTTTTGAGCACTTGTCGCGAATGGTGCAATCACTGCGTTCCCATGGGAGGCGGCGATAGTCGCGTGTCGAGGTCCTGGAGGTAGAGATGTTGGTAAAGGTAGAAAGGAAGAGGCTCAAAAAATTTCCAAGCTCAAGAAAAATCGATTTGGAGGTAGGCGACAATTGTGGCCGGTGGCCGGTGCGTAATTGGTTCCGTGGTGGGCTGGTGGATAAGTCGATAGATAGTGGGGTAGGTACCTAGGTAGCTTGGTTGGGTGGCTTTTCTGGCATTTGATCCCTGCAATTCTTTCGACGAGCTCTAGAAAAGTAACATAGTGCAAACGTGAATTTTTGGCCGTCTTTTGCTGCGATAGCATTCCAGTCGCAGCGCCGATCAAGCACACAACAGATACCATGGCTGACCGTAGGAGGATCAATGGGCCAGTCGGAACCACGACACCGCCGGTATTTGTCCATGCACCTGCCAGGCCGAGACCCAGAGAGTCCGACTCTATTCGCAAGATCTGTAAGTGGTGATGATTCATTTTCTCAGGCAATATCCTCCCTTGTTTCTTCACGCCTTTGCTCACCACCTATATTAGACTTGAAAACCGGCATAACTCCCTCAGCCTCTGGGTCAGCCTACCTCGAACTCGAAAGCCGCCCGGGTCACCCTCACAGATCGAATCTGAAGCTTTCATGTACCGTACACGGCCCAAGGGCTCTCCCTCGATCGGCGCCGTTTTCGCCTCATATCATTCTGACTACGCATGTCAAGTACGCTCCATTTGCAACTAGGACACGGCGTGGATACTTGAGGGACTCGAGCGAACGTGACTTGGGCGTACATTTGGAGACTGCCTTGCGCGGTGCCATCATTGCAGATCGATGGCCAAAAAGTGGTGTTGACATCATTGTTACGATAGTCGAAGGCGACCAAGATCGCGACGCCCCCCACAACCAAGACGATGAGAACTGGGAGATGATGAATGTGTTGAGCGGCTGTATTACCGTTGCCTCCGCAGCAATCGCAGATGCCGGCATTGACTGCGTGGATACTGTGGCTGGAGGTGTCGCGGCCCTGGTTTCCAAGAAGGACGGTCAAGTGCCGAGTATCATTGTGGACCCCATCGTGGCTGAGAACCAAAAGATCTTGGCCGCTTGCTGTGTGGCATACCTGCCCTCACGAGACGAGGTGACGAATTTATGGTTCAAAGGACAGCTTCCTGGCGGCGATTTCATGGTTTACAACACTATGCTCGAACGAAGTATGGTGGCTAGCCGGAGCGCCAACAGAGTGATAGTGCAAGCTCTGAGTGAAACGGCCAAGAAGGGGCAAGAAGCTACCTGAGAGTGCGTGGTGTTGTAATAGAGATGAAATATACAAGCACGACGTCTGGAAATCGGGGCCAATTCAACTCAAAACAGGAAAAGACCCTTGACCTCACGGCCTGCACAAATGATTGTAGGCAATTCGCCTGTTTTACCTGGATCTGGCTGATGGTGTAAAGGAGAATTGTTACCTTGGCTTTGAAGGTCCAACATTTGTTGCGTCGGCCACATCAGCACTGATCAGGTATGATGTTGGAAAGACAAGGACTAGAAGCGAATATGCTTTTTTGGAGCGCTTATCCCGAGTCCGCAAGATTATACCTCTGCATTGTCTACCCTATAGAAGAATCAGATGTCCTTCATCGAGGGAATGGCGGATAACGAAGGATGGAATGTTGGTATGATATCGCCCCTCTACACTCGATAGAGTCTTGCTGCCTGTTGGTAGGAATTCATTGTTATAATGAGTTCTTTCGGAATCATTGCGACAGATAGATACATCCCCGGGACAATGCAACAATCGTGCACTTCAACTCCAAATACTCATATCAAGGTGGGAAATGTTTTACAATTAGTTCAGCGCCCAGTATCATATAACCATTAGCGGATTCATGGGCCTAAAATTAGCGCCCGACGGTGCAAGTTGCAGCGCATTACACGCGTTGTAAAACGCGCTGCGGAAAGCAAGTTCGACCCGACATTCCGGACTAGAAGAGACGAGGCACATGTCGAAGAGTCAATGGTCCATCCTGTTCTGGGGTTTCAATCAATCGAGGTAGAAAGGGACCCCAAATTCACCCCCTCTCAATATATGTGGGTGTGTCTGTCTAATAAGCTTACCTGCATGGAGCTTTCTTCGGTGATTGTAATCTCATCTCAGCCAGCTTGAACTTGCCCTCCCGCTCTGAAGTTGCTCCATCCCTCGGAATCCTTCGATACCCACCACTAACTACACCTGCCCCAAACACCTTCCAGGCACAAACAACATAGCTTGTTTACTTACGCCTACACACCTCCGTTCGAGTGTATGCGCTCCGTGTTGCATCGTCTCGTGTAGTACAACGAAATCAAAAATGCAGTACCAGTTTCCACGAGCATCAGCAATCTGACTAGATCCGTCCGATCATCGCTTGCATAACAGCCCGCCAGTGACGTTTGTCCTATCGCTGTAGAGTGAGCGCTCCCGGCACGCACGGGTACGGGCAACGACGAATGCACCATGGCATCTCCAGGGGCCGCTGTCGTGCCTGCGCCCACGGCATTCGATAACGCGAGCATGCTCCATAACCTCACGCAGTGGACGCTACAACACTTGAGACTACCCGTCAACGTCAGCCGCTATGCCGAAGACCTCTTTCTTGCCGGACCTAGGATGCTGACCAAGCTTGGTTCCATCATGTCTTACGCAGATACTGTGGACGGCTTTGGCCAACGAGTACTACCCGATCCGACCGGCTCCGATTTGTTTCTTACCACCGCCGCCGGAAGCACCACTGCCAACGTTGCTGCCGATGCCTCCGTTGCCGCCGCAGCCGCCGCTGAACTGGTCGACCAGGACCCTGCGGCTATGGCGTCTCGACTGAGCTTGGAAGGGGCAAAGGGCCTGGGAAGCGTCTTCAGCTATGCCACTAGCAAATGGGCGCTCTGCTGTGTGGCCATGGCTATCATACTGAACAGAACACACATCTTTGCCGCAAGCCGGCGCAGACTTCGCTTGGGCTGGCATGTTCGGCTCTTTCTCCGCTTTCTACCGCTTGTCCTCTTTCTCTTCCAGGCCCAACAGCTGCTGCAGTCGATACAATGCCAAACATCGCCAGACTTTTCAGAGATGCGCTGGGGCAACGCGAGCAAGTCATCTGACCTCATGTTTACCGAGCCCGGAGGCTATCTGCATACCATCAGCTCAACATTGCTGTTGGGCGCCAGCGACCTAGACTCATGCCGGGCTGTAAATATGGTTCCAGACGACGACCAGGTCTACCCTGCCGAGCTGCAAGGATCATTGTCGCTGCTATGGCCGCTCTTTGGAACTTTCTGTCTGAGCCACTTTCTCGAAACCGTGTCGTGTGCCGTGCAGGGCCGGCCGGTGGCCGTTGAGACGGGCATGACACTTTTTGAGCACTCGCTGGCTTTCGCCGAGGCCGACGCTGCCGTCAGTAACCAGCTTGGCTGGGGTTTGTTCTCCAGCAGCGGTACCGCAAACGTCACTCTTACCCAAGGGTCAACAGGAACCAGCATTGCCATCTCACGATCCATGATCATGAAGCGTGTCAATACTCCACCCGAGGTTCTCCTGGTCGCTTTCCTTTCTGCCATGAGCCATGTGACAAGCCACCTCTTGGGTGTGTTCAATCTTCAGTCGCGCTTTCGCCTCTTGAATACTGGATTCTGGGCTCTATGTTTTATGAGCAGCATTGTGTACGAGGCGTTCAACTTTTCTCTGGACGACCCATCGAGCATGGGTCTCTTTAGATTCCCGACGGTGTGTATTATAGGGTTCATCCCCCATGTCATGGTATTTACCGGCATCTTCATTTGTGCTTTTATTTACGGCATTGCACTTGTTCTGTCGGCGCTTTCTCCTCCTGACGGAATGGAAAATGTCCGGCAGCTCAACTTCTACCAGCGCTTGCGCTCAGCCCACGAAAATATGCAAGCAAATATTTCGCTCTCCGATATACGTGTGAGCAGGGACATGGATTTCTATACTGCTCTACTCAGAATCGGGTTTGGAGTGATTACAATGGCTAGCGAAGCTGTTTATTTGAACGAGGATCGCCGTGTCAATGTCAAGCAACTGACCTGGCTGGAGGAAGAGCGCTTCAAAGAATTGGAAAAATTCCGCATGCAATGGACTGGATCAAGTCTTGGGGACTCTCGTTATGACCAGGCGGGGACAATCGGTCTGATTCCAGTCAAGGATGACCAAGTCAATGCCTCCAGTGGTTATGCAAGAGAGCGTGCTGCGCAAAAACTGCCAAAGGCCAGGGCAGGAGATAAGCGGGCGAAGGATGGTGTAGGAGCCATTGAGCGCAGCTCACGATGGATCCTGGCTATGGACTTCATCATCAACATCAATCGATTGATTCTCCGGTGGTCGTCACTACTGATGCTAAGAGCCCTTGCGCGAATTGGTATCAGGGCACAGCCACGTTTTCTCCTGTGGCTATCACGCCGACCTAAGAAGACCAGGAAAGAGGAGGCGGAGACAAGAAACACCGAGGAGGCTAGTTCGAGCAGACAAGGCGCTCAGGACATGCTCTTTAATGATGAGGATGCTGATGTTGAGTCTGAGATGATGATGCGCCTTCGGCATACCCCCGAGACTGCCAACATTTCATGGGCAGATATTGATAAACGGCTCTATCAGTCATGGACACATGGCGCCCTATGGGGAAGTGCCGACACAAGCGGCGCCTGGGAACCTGAATCGGACGCTGATGACTGGGACACGACCAGCTTGATTGACAGCGTTGCAAGCAGTGACGTAGGCTTCAACACGCGTGATCAATATCCTTGGGAAGACGAGGAAGATGATCTCGACGATGGCCAACGTACCCCGACACAGCAGTCTCGTTTTGCTACTAGAGAGCCGACGCCATCCGAGGCTAGTATCACGATGAGCGATCTTGCTCGCTTGCTAAACCCCATGACGGCGGATGAGCGACAAGAGGCCCAGGCACTAGCCGCACACCTGACAAGTGACCGTATCATGACGCGCTCTGCATACGCTCGTCAGCAGGCAGCACAGCGCACCCGTCTCCTGACCACCGCGGTTACAGCTGGCCGAGACCGAAACCGTAGAATGACACCCGAAGAAGAGGCTGAACTACTCGAACAGCTGATCATTTCCCGGCGTACGGCGCCTCGCCGAAGGCCAGACATTTACGAGATCGATAACAGCGGCCAGGAGAACACGGGCTCTTGGGCTGGCCTGGACGAGAATGGTGGCGACGGCGGTCCGCAGTGCGTTGTCTGTCACAGCTCGCCCCGAACGGTAATTGTCTGGCCTTGCCGATGCCTGAGTCTCTGCGATGAGTGTCGTGTCACGTTAGCCATGAATAACTTTGATAAATGTGTATGTTGTCGACGTGAAGTGATTAGCTTCTCAAGGATCTACGTGCCTTGATCAAGCGGACGGAAGGTTTTTGTATTATGGAAGGCTTTAGTTTGTTTGGCACAAGCTGTCCAATGGCCAAGGGGAATCAATCATTGCTAAGGAGTTGGGACATTTTGGTTTTTCAGGTTTTTATACACAACACAGCGTAGGAGAGCTTTTTGGCCAACTTGGTCAATCCAGTCATGTTGGGCGCAGAAAGCTGTCCTAATAGACACATGCCCTTCGGTACATATTCCATTTTGCGTCTAAATTTACTTTGTTGAGGACGCCAAGGATGAACAGTCTATTCTCACAGACAAATGCTAGTGGTGAAATGCATGGTATGGTTTGAGCAGTGGTTTATATTGAGGATATCTAGAGTAGCAACGCTATTACATGGCAGCCCATTCAATGCTGAAAGCTCTGACTGGAGGTCCAGTGGCACTGGTTGCCTTGACCCCATGCCCACCGACGACCTCACCGCTCGTCTTGCCCTCGCCAGCAGTTGCACCGCCTATCAAGTAAGCCTTCTTGACATTGGTGCCTAGTCTTCCACCGCCAACAATGTCCAGCAGCTTAATCTCGTCATTCCAGCCATAATGCGTCGCTTGAAAGTGACTGTGGTATCTCAGGGGGTCACCAGGATAGACATTGTAGTCACAGCCAAACCGCAGACCAGGCATCATGTAGTAGCCATGATCGTGGAGGTGAGCATAGAGGGGGTAGCCGCGGGGAGCATCAACCAGCGACGCGGTATCCTCTTCCTCGTCCACGGACGGCGGGGGGTCCATCAATGCGCCGCTAGTGACGGGCGTAATGGCAAAAGGTTCAATGGCCGCTACCGATGCTTTGGGCTTGTTGGCCTGCTTGGTCACTTGGGAATCCGACGAATCAAAGAGGTTCAACTCTTCATCTACAGAGGCTGCTGCTTCTGCTGCAGCATTGTCTGGCTCTTTGGAGCTGGTAACGGCACCGGCACTGGTGATGGACGACGTATCTTCTTTGGTCTTTTGCGCTTTCTTACCCTTGGCCTTGGCCTTGTTGAGGCCCTGTACCTTTCTAAACTCTGCGTATTCACGTGCGGCGGTGGCGGCGCCCAGTCCATCCTGCTTCATGGCTTGGAGATAGGCAGCGCGCACAGCGGGGTCGGGGGACGCCAGCCGCGACGGATGAAACGCGGCATCGTCGACTACGTAGGCCGCCTTTTTGCGCACGAGCACCATGGCCTCTTCTGCCATCAACTCAATGGGCAGGCCCATGAAGACGCTCTGCGACGGGGCTTGCGGCATGGTTCCTACAAAGGGCGAGCAGATATTGTGGTGACGGCGGAGGTACATGATATCGTCAATGTCGAAGAGCAGGTACCGATCAGTGACCTTTGAGATCCTGACGGGTGACCTGGAGCTGTCCGACGCCATGGTAGCTGTGTGTTTGTCAAGTTCTGAGCTTCCTTTCCTGTTTCAACCGAGTCAGCCACAAGTTTCTTGGAAATTGAGATTGCGACAAAAATAGGTGAAAATGTGTGATGATCATTTGTTTTTAGGATTGATAATTGTGTCAACATGTTCGCTTTCAGGGGATTGACAGATTATTATTTGGTGTAATCAGGTCATCAAGTGGTTTGGGGAACACTAATGAAAAATGCGCAATGCAAACGTACCTTTGGGTTGAGATGCTTGACAAGTAAAGAGGAAGAGAAGGTGATTCAGAGCTCAGAGCTAGGAAGAAAATATAGAAAAATTTGGAGGCGTGGGGTCGGCACAGTGTCAGGGTGGGGTTTTATCCACTTGACACTGTCAACTATAAATCGACCAGACAGGACGGCTTGAGACAACCGACAAGTATCTCATCTCTCTAAAAGTCACGCCGGATTTTGAATGTTTGTCAAAACTCTAAAACTCGATGCTCGTCTTGGTGGTAGAAGCCGGATTCTTTTCCTTCTCCTCGTCTTCCAGCATGGGTGGAAGCACAAAGGGCTTGATGATGAGACCTTTGGACCGGCTCAGACTAAAAGCCATATCTTCGCCAGTGTGGCCGTCGGAGCCACCTCCTCCCTTTTCGTGATGGATGGGCAGGCTGTGTACTTTGAGGAGACCTTGCGTCTTCTCATCTGATTTGGAGTCGGACTTGGCATCGGGAGGGGGCGCATGGACTTTGTCGAGTTGAAGCGGGATCAGCTCCAGGGCGCCATCGCACAACAGCTCCATCCATCTTGTGAGTCCGGTGGCTCGTGGGTACAGAGACAGCGGCAGAGTTATGATAGCAGTCAGCTTTCTTGGAAACTGCCGAAGAAGAGCTCGCAGACCATGCAGGAATTGCAGGACTTCTTCAGGCCGGCATAGAGAGGTCGGGTACATGGTCGGAGACAGGAGATTAGGCACTACAACTCGGTGCACCCATGTTGGCGAAGAGCTCAAAAGTCTTGTTCCCAGATCCTTGAGAAACAGTTGAAATGGGGATCCAGACTCCTTCGTCGGTCTCGCGCCTGGCATAGCCATCGATGGGTGGAAACTGATCTGGCCGTTGACATCCTGAGGAGATAGGCGTTTTGTCAGATCGAACGAGTGACAAAAGATGCCAGACGAGCCAGCAGATGTGCCGGTCGATCTTTGTGGTGTATCTGTGATGAATCAGTGACATGATACCACGATATAGTGGCGATTCATTAAAACTCACCTCTAGGAGTTCCAACCGATCCTAAACTCTCATATCGCCATGCAATCTTCATCTTGTCACCGCCCGCAGCTTCGGATTTTGAGGATGATTTAGAGTCGGTAAGAATTCCTGGAAGCTCCGTCTTCCATCCTTCATGCATTCCTAGTACATGCACTTGATGGCCTTGGACGAGACCCTCGGCAGCATAGTAGCGAAGCAGGATGCCAGCAAAGTCGGTCGTGCCATGCTCCTCAACGAGCAATGATGTTCCCAGCGGAAGTCCAGAATGGCCTGCGAGCAGAGAATCTAATGACGCAGTTCCTGTCGACGTAGTGACGCGGCCGTCTAGCGGCGACGGTCTGAGGCCTGGGACTGATACATTTTCCACCTTTGCCTGTGCTGCCGCTGCCGATGAAGATGTACTGATGACGGTGTTTCTCTTTCGGAGCGACATTGCTTAGATTCGTGGCCTTTATATTCGACCAAGCGCGCGAGGATAATCTTCAGAAAGAAGAAACCAACTCAATAAAAAAAAAAAAACGATTCGTATGCGCAATCTACAAAATGCTTAATCGTGTCTTGCGTATAAGTGCTGCTACATATAAAAGTAATGTAGGATTTCGTCACTGGGTGCATCGCGGGGCACTCAAATTTTGAATCTCCAATTCCGCATGGGCGGAACCTGGAAACCGCAAGCACTGTACTGCTGTAGCTCTCCCCAAACCCCCTGTCTACAGTACCTAGACTGACCCAGCTGCGGCTGCTTGCCCAGTGGCAGCGGGAAGCCCCGCAGAGCCGTCGACTCAAGCGTCGAACTTTTGAGCTTCGGAAGCAAGAAAAAAAAAAGAGTACGGAAAAAAATAAGTCAAACCAGGCGCATTCCAATACAAAGTCGCAAACCACGAGACTACTCACTACTCACCCGACGCTTACCGAACCACTTCCTTTCGTAACCGATCAACCGTTTTCTCTTTTCGTTTATAGACCGCAGCCATGTCGTCCGGCGACGCACAGCTCTTTGAGGAAACCTTTGTGGTGACAAACTACGATCAGGCAAAGTACGACCGCGTGGCGCGCATCACGGCCACATCCAACGACAATGCCACGCAAATGACCCTGGACATCAACATTGAGCTCTTTCCCTGCCGCGTGGGCGACCCGCTGAGCGTCGTGCTCGCCACCACCCTGAGCCTCGACGGCAAGGCTGGCGAGGAGGAGCGCGGCTGGCGGGACGTCAAGGCCGGTACCGAGACGGCCAGCCTGGCGGACAACTACGACTACGTGTGCCACGGCAAGATTTACAAGTTTGAGGATGGTGCTGATGGTCAGAGCATGTGAGTTTTGGAAACTTGGAACATTTTCATTCCAGAAACGCCACGCCATTGAATCGGCCGCTGACTCGCCCTCAAACTTATAGCAAGGCATACATTTCATTTGGCGGTCTGCTCATGATGCTTGAGGGACCTTCCAAGAAGCTTCTCCCTCTGCGAGTCGACAACACCTATCTGCTGGTCAAGAAATAGAAGATCTCGACGTAGAAAAGGTGTTCGTTTCCGCTTCAGCATGAAAAGGGAAAACCACACGCAGCGCGGATATACCAAACAGGGGTGTAACGACACATGGCATTCGGAGGCCCACGCGATGGTGAGAAGGGAGTTAGACTTGGCGTTCAGGCGTACGGAAAATCACAGAAGGCTCTGTGTGCTTAAATTATGTTCTTAATTCTGAGGAGACCAAGGGCTCGTACTGGATCTTCTTCTCAACAAATCGTGCGAGATTATTGGAGCGACATGGACGGGGCCTCCGTGTTGTGCGGACCAGGGAAGGGCGTCTTCCTGTGCATCCTCTGGAGTATCTCGTCATAGTCCGGCTCGTTCTCCCGGGTCAGGATCCCTCTGCGCATAAAGAAGTCCAGGAGCACCACGGCGCAGTTCGGCTTGAACTCTCCCCGGGCCATGGCCTCCTGTATCTCGTCCACAGTCCACAGATAAAATTCCTGAACCTCGCCGTCCTTGGGTGTTGGCTTGACATCAGCAGGTAGCTCAATATCATAGACCCATTGAGTCTCGGGATAAATGAGATCCTTTTCTCCACCAGCCCTCTCGTCCGTCACGTAAACATAAACGACTGTACCGGCGAGCTGGCACCTTTCCCTCATCAGGGACTCTGGCAAATCAGCTTCCTCATCAGACTCGCGAATAATGCACTCGTAGGGGTCCTCGGCTGTCATCAAGCCTCCGGCGACCGTATTGTCCAACATGCTGGGGTAGTTGCTCTTGTTGCTGGCGCGCCTCGGGACCCAAACCCGGATCCCGTGCTTGACCCCGTCATCCTTGACATATGCCGTCATGTGAACGCCGTAGCGCATCACGCCGAGCAATCCAGCGCCTGCTCTCTCGACACTGTAAAGCAGTTCTCCATCGTCGGTGCTGTAAACGGGCCACGGCTCGTTTCTCCACTTCTTGATAATTTCCCAGGTGCCTTGGGTCCGCCAGTACTGCATCACGTCGCCGACGACCTTGGTGCGTTCAGCCTCGGTAGGCAGATCAAAGGCGCGGATGGTGCGTGCCTCGGAGTCCACGTCTACAGCCCCCCGGATAGACTCGGGGATGGAGAGGAGCGACTGTACCACGGGTGGGTGCATATATCCAAGCGTGATATCCTTGCCTGTAGAGATGCGGTGGATCAAGGTGTACAGAGGTTCTGGGAATGCTTTCAGGATGCCATCTTGATCATATGGGAAACTGGCAAGACATGGTTGAGTATACGGTGCAAGAGACCTGAGGGTCTGCGAAATCGAACACTTACACATCCACCTGCTTGGCAAGGTCGAGGTTGCTCAGAGGTGCCATTTTGCTAAATATGTGTGCAAATGGATGTTGCTTGTTCTTGTGCAAAGAAGCGCCGCTCTTGGTTGATGATATTTCAAAACTGGAAAAATGTCTGATACGCAATGAAGGAAGGCGAATTTGCGAATCGATGCTAGATGCTGCTGCTGTTGCTGATGCTGTGTGCGGCCTCACGTGCCCAGTCAATGTCGAGTATGACAAACGGGAAATAGTATAAGCTTTGGTGAAGGAGCCAAGCAACTGGGTCGTCGTTGTTGCGTTTTTATACTGGTTCCCAAGAAGAAGACGAGGACGTGACCAAAGCCGCCCGGAAAATACCATGGGCGCTCTCCAGCTCGTGTGAATCACTGCTTAGGCGAAGACAGGATGATGAGCCAGATTCCTCAACGAGCATATGCAGTCATCTGTAAAAATACGGTGGTCTTGGTCGACGTACCTCGATCTGGAATCTGCAACCGGCTGAAAAGGTGCAGTGCAGCGCAGGCAGGGCGGGATGGATCTGGCACATGCAGCTTGGCCCTTACCCAGGCCTTTCTCCCTTGCTTGGCTTGAATGGCGGGGTGATGGATGAATGGTATTGGTGGGGGCTCTGGGCTTCAGTGTCCCAATTAGTGAGTGCAGTGCAGCTACAAACCTAGGTAGGTGACGCCAATTTCTTTGCTCTGCTACGTCGAAGATTCGAGCTACAGCTCGCGACATCGCTGCATTTAGGTAGTCCATCTATTTCATTATATGAGGTTGATTACCCTCAGCTCAGCTCGCGCTCAGCAACTGGAATATGAACTCAATGTCATGAGCTATAAGCACAACCAGCTTGATATTCCATTCGGCACAATTCTGTCTGCTTTGTTTTCATTATAGAATCTTTCCTTGAATTTTATATACATCTACACATTATACCCACGTATCCGGGGACAAGCAGAAAAATGGCGGACCAGCAACAACCTCTCTTTGGCCTGTTACCGGCCGGCCACCCGCTGATGACGGCGCCCTCGTCCATTCCCGGGCCGGGCTCCTTTCTCTACGTGATCCCCTCGACCACGCCGGCCAACCCCAAGCCCTTCTCCCACCTCTCTGTGTTCCTGCTGCCCGGCGTGGCGCTGCCCCCGGACACGGCCGCCGCCATTTACCTCATCACCAACCCCGAGGCCCTGGCCGCCGGCACCGCCCCGCCGGCCACGCGCTTCCTCGGCGGCGTCGGCCCTGGCAAGGAGAGCGCCGTCTTCAAGCTCGGCGGCGGCCAGCAGGGCGTCGTCATTGGCGTCAGCGTCGAGGACGCCGGCAGCGTCGCCCAGAGGATCGAGGAGCAGCAGGCTGCCAGGGCGGGTAGTGGAGGCGGCGAGCTGGTCAAGGCCGGCGGGGCGGCATCGGGCGGCGGCCAGCAGCCGTCGACGCAGGTTCTTGCGCAGCGCATCATCAAGAATGCCTTCAACTTCCTGGCCAGTTTCAGTGGGCAGGCCGGCGGCACCGAGGTTGTGCCGCTGCGTGCATTCGAAGAGTGGTGGAAGAAGTTCGAGAGCAGGGTCAGATCAGATCCCAGCTTCCTGGAGAGGGAGACAGATTGAAGTGGGAGAAACTTACTCATCTCTTATTTCTTACTTATTTCGAATTTAGAAAATACGGGCAGAAGAAAAGCGCCTGGATCCTCTGTTCCTCGCCTGGGTAGCGAGAGATACCAGTTCAGAGGCAGCGCTACGGAAAAACTTTGACCGACAAGCATTGAGCAGAAAGCAATTCGCCACTTGCGGGTTGGAAGATGTGCAATTGTATACCCCCGCAGGAGGATCAAGGTACCGATCGATGGGTTATGGCTCCGACCTGCAAGATACTCATCGTGAACAAACGGTACGAGACAACCGAGCACAATGTTCCGGTCTTGATAAGACTACGAAAGACACTCTGGACACCAAAGTATATGGGTGACACTAGGGATACGGCCTATTGGACCATGGATCACCATATCGGTATGCGTATTATATTTATAGTACGGGATCAGCTCTTAAGAAATCAAATCAAAAGTTCATGTGCTTTAGATAATGTCTTGTGGCTTCTTCCAATCTTGCGCAAATTTCAACTTGACCTTTGCTTTCACAAGGGGTTTTTTGACCAGTCCAGATTACTATTTAACATCGTAGTGTCAGCTCATGCCAACGTCCTCGTTGCAAAAGCCATGGCAGGGTACACCGACAATGTTAAAAGGCAGTTTTGCCGGGTATCCCGCGCCGTGCAACTTGAGCATATGACACCACAGGAGCATGTCTATCCGCACGTCGCCAGTGCCGAAGCTAAGTGGCTCGTCTGGGACGTGAGTGTACTGGACTTTGACCTGCGCCGGGTCCTCGAGAGCCTGGATGCGCGCCCAGGTGCCGCTGGCCCCCGGCCCCGTCGTCGGGTCGGTCTCCGCCAGCACCTGTAGTATGGCCACGTTCTTCGTCGCGAGATTCTCCGAAGGCAGGAATGGGTAGAGCGACGAGTCGGTCGGTACGGCCGGTGTGTTCCGTGAGGCGAGAGCCGTGTGACATGCTATTTTTTCTATTATACGGCGAAAACGGGTCTCGCAGGCATCGCCCTGGCTGGAATTGCCGTTGCAATATGCCTCGCTGCGGGCCCAGGGAAACCAGACGAGTCCATGGCGCCGGACTAGCTCCTCAATTTCCTGAGGGCGGTCCTCTACAGCGTCCATGACCCGGCCGACAATCTCCTTCTTTCCTGCGGGTCGAATGACCTCGGGAAGTCTGCAGAGTCTAAAGCGTAGGACGCGACAGTCGCTTGGATTCTTCACGCTGATATCAAAGGTTTCGAGGCAGCTGCCGCGGCGAGTATCTAGCACGGCAAGGGCCATGACCTCGAGCAGGTCGGCCATGGACGTCACATACTCGATGCTTACACGGCGCACTGACAGGCTTGCGGCTAGAAACAGAGGGTGAACCAGCATCCGCAGCTGCTCATCGCCGCAACACACCCAACGGCGAGGCTCTCGCCACTCGAGAGTATCCCGGTCCGAGTTGAAGCGTGGCCGACGATGTTTTCCCCTCTGTGAGAGCAGGTTTTCGACCATTTTTCTCGTTAATGACTCGCTGTCAATGTCTTCGTCGAGATCTTCGGCATCAGTGTGTAGTCTTGGTATCAGCAAAGTCTCCAGAATTTCCTGATCAATCTCGAGCCCGCCATAGAGCCCCTTCAGCTCTTCCCGTGCCTCGAAGCAAGCGCCGAGCACAGTGGGCCGTGGTGCACTTGGGCGTTCCGTATCTGGGACAATAGCATAGCATGTCCACCAATCCTTCCCTGCGCTCCAGTTCCATGAATCGAGATCCAGTTTGAGGCGAACGGGAACCGTCCTCGGGGTGAGAGCAAAATGGTATATTTTCAGCCTCAGCTCAACGGGGAGCTTTGAGAAGAGGTGGAACGATTGTGTTGCTGCCATGTTGTGTAATTTGATCTTTTTGGAGGGTGATTTATGGTTGTGTACAGTCGGTGTAATGAAGCTATCCCTGCCAGAGTGCGTATCTCATGGCCGTACTTCTTGTTGTTTGCGGGTGCCGTGGTCCAGAGAAATGGTTTGTCGAAATATCCACTCCCTCGAAGATACTTGATCTGAAATCAATGACGACGTACTGCCATTAAAGACTCCTGTGGATGGAAAGAGCACATGATGCATGGCGCATATGCTGCCCATCAAGGTTGTTGACGGAAACAACGAGTGTTCTGTGGGTGGCCAAAGGGGTAGCCATCAAGGTTGTTGATCTGCAGCGATATACCAGTTGGGCCATGCCCAAGCAAACCCGCGGGATGTCAACTCTAAAATATATTCAGGTGCATACGTACATACGCTGGAGAACCAGTACAATTAATAAACGTGATCGATGAGCTGAAACCTTACAATGGGAGTGATGGAAGGTCTTTTGGCTTGACAGTTTGGGTCGATGTGTATGCAGTTGGAACTAATTATTGGCGGTGAGGTCGATGTTTCCAAAGCTCTCTCTCTCTCTC